TGTCTCTACTGTCAGCACTGTCTCTCTGTCTCTCCTGTCAGCACTGTCTCTCTCTCTCCTGTCAGCCCTGTCTCCTTGCCTGTCTCTCCTGTCAGTACTGTCTCTCTCTCTCCTGTCAGCCCTGTCTCCTTGCCTGTCTCTCCTGTCAGTACTGTCTCTCTCTCTCCTGTCAGCCCTGTCTCCTTGCCTGTCTCTCCTGTCAGCACTGTCTCTCTCTCTCCTGTCAGCCCTGTTTCCTTGCCTGTCTCTCCTGTCAGTACTGTCTCTCTCTCTCCTGTCAGCCCTGTCTCCTTGCCTGTCTCTCCTGTCAGCACTGTCTCCTTGCCTGTCTCTCCTGTCAGCACTGTCTCTCTGTCTCTCCTGTCAGCACTGTCTGTCTCTGTCTCTCTCCTGTCAGCCCTGTCTCCTTGCCTGTCTCTCCTGTCAGCCCTGTCTCCATGCCTGTCTCTCTCTGTCAGTCCTGTCTCCATGCCTGTCTCTCTCTGTCAGCGCTGTCTCCATGCCTGTCTCTCTCTCTGTCAGCCCTGTCTCCATGCCTGCAGTCCTGTCTCCATGCCTGTCTCTCTCTGTCAGCCCTGTCTCCATGCCTGTCTGTCAGCCCTGTCTCTCTCCTGTCAGCACTGTCTCTCTCTCTCCTGTCAGCCCTGTCTCTCTCTCTCTCTCTCTCTCTCCTGTCTCCATGCCTGTCTCTCTGTCAGCACAGTATCTCCACCCTGCCTCTCCCAGCTGCCCTTACCATTGATAAGGCTAAGCCTCCCCCATGGTCCGCTGTGCCAGCACTATGTCCGCCTGGTTCCGTGTGCTGCAGGTTGTCACTGCTCCATGCTGGACAGGAAGCTGCTTCCTCTCACACACCGACCCGGGCCCACCCAACCCCGGCCCGCGGGGCTTATCCAGCAATGGACAGTGGTGATGGTGACTGGTCAGGGGAGGGCACGGTACCGGCTGGCAGAGTGCGCGCGGCCCCGGTTCGGATCGCGGACCGGGTAGCAATCCCTGTATTGTTCCGCTTCACAGCTCACTTCCGGGATCCGGTTCCGTGACGTAATGACGTTGCCGAGCTGGGCGTGGCCGGCGGGGGTGCCAGGTCTCGCGGGAGCCGCCTAGCTAGTGACAGAGTGTTAGTAAGAGTGTCACACTGCGCTGCTCGGTGAATAGGGCCCAGCGGGGCCGGCAGTGGCTGCAAGGGGGGAAGCCAGCCAATACCCAGTGCTGCTACACATGAACTGCTCATACTGGGGGGGCAGCACCTTTCATGTGTGGCCCATCTGCCATCACAGCATTATTAATAAGTAAGGGGAGCCTACCTAGAGAGGGGGTCTATGGAGGGTCTGGCAGGATCTCTCTCTGTCACACATGGAAACACCACAACAACATCCAGTGCCGCTCCTAGTTGTGTGGAGTTTTAAAAAATAATAATACATTTAAAGACCCTCCTCCCCCGAGAGCGTAACCTAAGAAGGGGCAAATAGTAGATTGTTTTTAAAGGAACAATTCAGGCACAATAACCATTACAGTTCTCTTTAGTGCAAGCATATCAAACTCAAAGGCTAGTACCGGCCACATAAACAAGGTTTACGTTTAGGTGGACCACAAAACCTTACATTTTCATATAAACATAGGTTTGTTTTGAAAAGTACAGTATAAAAAAATCCAGCATCCCCTCTACTAAACCGCAGTCCCCTCCCCTCCCATATACTAAACCCCAGTCATTGTTAAAAAAAAAAAAATATTAGCCAACAAGCAGACTCCACTCACATTGCCACTGCCAGTATGACAGTTATTTATTGCTCCCTATATTTGGGAGCTAGTGTGGGGCCTCTCCCTGAACTTCTCTCGGGAGCTCAGTCTTCCTGCTCCCTCACGCACCCGGCATCACTACAGAGGGCGCGTGCGAGGGAGCAGTGAGGAGCAGGAAGACTGAGCTCCCTTGCTGCCACCAGGGACCTCTCCGGCTGGGTAATTTTGGCATAGTAGGCACCTATGTGGGGCGAGCAGGTGCCTACTCTGGTTTAGTAACTCGCAGAGTAGGCACCTCGCGGCTTGTCGGGCCACAAAAAAATATTAATTTGACATGCTTGCTTTAGTGGTTATGGTGCCAAAAGTGCCATGGCGCCCTCCATTTAAGAACAGTTTGACAACTTGCGTGGGGTTTGCCGGGATAAGGGCAGTAGTTGTAAGTGTGTGAAAGGTGCTGAGAGTGGGTGGGGGCGGGGGGGGAGCAGATTAAAGCAAATTAAATTTTTTATTTTTTTAGTTAAAATAAATACTTTTTAGCACCCTCCCCTTCTTACCTTAGTCCAGGGAGGGGGGATATCGCTTGTAATCCCTGGTGGTGCTAGTGGAGAGTGAACTCTAGCCTGCCACTAGAGCAGTGGCATAGCTAGAACTTTTGCCGTCCAGGGCTGCCCCTGAGTTTGCCGCCCCTATCTGACTGCAACAGACATATCTCTTTTAAGTATTCAATGCATCTAGCCCAACACAGTTTACAATCTTTAAGATATACAGCCAAAGAATACATTCATGAAAAACACGTGCATGTAATTCATTGAGGGCATATCTACTAAACAATGATTTTTTTGCCCATTAGGGCAGAGTGTTCCTTAAATAATTACCAGATTTTACTATTTACATGACATAAGGACACAGAGGCTCATATTATGCTTTATCTCGCTCTTTATTCCTCAGCAGCAAAGAAAGGATATTAAGATATTCATAGGAAAAACAAAACCAGTACCCTCAGAGGGTTAACCATATAACATCTTAGCCAATGAGAGCAGTCCACATTCCATATACTCTCATGTGACCCTAAGCCACTCTTCTTTCTTGGTGATGCCGAAGCCAATAGTCAACTAAAAGAACCGAAAACGAAATAACTGAAGCAACACAACCAGACAACTGAACAGACGTCTGAGGCG